TTGCCGGTCCCGGTCCGGTACGGGCACGACACTGAGGGTTGCGATCCGTTGCCAGACACGAAAAAAAAAAAGACAAAAAAAAAAAGGCCCTGCAGCCTTTCAAGTAAAACACTAAGCTGCGGCATGAAGCAGTGATTTCCTGTACACATGGGAGGGCCTCCAGGACTATAGGACCAAGAGGTCCCTTCTGCTGGAAATTTCAGGAATGCATAAGTATCTTTAAGATAAAAATTCTTACCCAGATACACGTGTAAAATGTAAGGCATAAGACCATAAATACCTGAAGGAAATATGCCCAAACACTGATGAAGTTTGTGTTAAATTGGAAGTAATGGAACGATGAATTCACAGTGTTTGTTTGCTTGGGTAATCTCTTTAATCTCTTTCTCCCTCTGCAACTTCAAAATTTTTCCTAGGGCTGGCTGGTTAACTCACTCAGTAGAACATGGTGCTGAATAACACCAAAGCCCAGGATTCAGATCCCCGAACTGGACAGTCACCAAAAAAAAAAACAAACAAAAAGTTAAAGAAATAATTTCCAATCATTATTGAAAAAACCTGTAGGAGCTTGATGCAAATTCAGACACAGAGTTAACAAGTTTCCTTCTAATCGTGCTGAGTGCACATATCCCTCTTCCTGTGACTCCTTCAGTCCCGACAGCCCCTCTTAGGCTGAACAGGCCAGTGGGCTCCGGTAGCCAGGCTGCCTGTGGGAGGGGTGGGCTTGCCCTGCACACTGGCGTGGGTTTCTACAGAGGCTGGTGGTCTCCTCCACTTACCCTCGTTCTCACTTTGACCACATTCACATAGGTCATACCCTCAAGGTCCACCTGGGCCTGTGGCCATCCTTTGTCCTCGAAGGTTCACCAGGTAGGGAAAGACAAAAGGGGCTCTACAGATTCTCTGATATCCCAGAAACAATCCACTCAATGCAGCGTGTCTAAGGACTCTCTTGGTCTCATAAGAAGAGTCTGTGCTCTGGGAAGCAGGACTTCTCTTTCACCAGGGTAGTCCCATACCTGGATGGTATCACTTACAGATACCACAGTTTCTATTGTGAGCAGACTCCTCTTAGCTCCTTCAAACTAGGTGCTGTTTATATATTACCATGTTTCCTCCAGTGTAACCAGCACAGTGCTGTCCCAGGAGGGTCTCAACAGAAGCTTGAATTAAATGGAAGTTCATTAGTCACAGGCATTTAAACCAACAGTGATGTTATATGTCTGCAGGATCTGACAAAGGACAGAGACAATTCTCTTAAAAATGATTTAGCCTGTTCCTGAGAAAAGCAGGCAGTTTTGTCCCTGCACCATGAATCAATTATTAACTGAAATTTTAGCTCTAGTCTCTACCTACAGCTCACTGCAAACTTGGAAAAGTTGCTAACAATTAGTTCCTCTGTAGTTTTCCTATCTTCAGCAAATTAAGATTAAAATATCCACTTCTACCTTTCTAGGAGTATGGTCAGAATGAAATTTATTGATGATGGAAAGAGAAGGATCAAGTCTGATCAGTATTTCATTTCTTAGAGAAAACAAAGATCATCACTGTGAGGACAGTGAACCTTCAGCAAATTAAGATTAAAATATCCACTTCTACCTTTCTAGGAGTATGGTCAGAATGAAATTTATTGATGATGGAAAGAGAAGGATAAAGTCTGATCAGTATTTCATTTCTTAGAGAAAACAAAGATCATCACTGTGAGGACAGTGAACCCATAGAACTTACTGTATATCTGCGGCTGGTTATCCAGAGAGTAGGCAGTAGATTCAGATATAAGAAATTTCTCTTTGAGGTCTCAAAACTGCTGTTTGCTCTTTGCCAGCTCAGATCTCAATTCCTGGATGATTTGTAGCACATTCATTTCTGCCCTTGGACCAGAAAAAAGGCTGAGAAATACTGCCATGCGACATCTGTGGCAGAAGAGGTAGAGCCGGGGACTGGGGAGAAGAAACCCAAACACATGATGGGATAAAAGCAATTGAAATCAAGTAAGTTTAATCAGAACTGAGGAATGACAATAACTAAATCTTAACTTACAGTTGAGAGAAACTTGATCAACACCCCACAAGACTTGAGAGTCCTTTATTGCAGAAATAAAGTCCAAGATGCTGGAGTTCAGAGCCTAAGGCACTGCTTGTAGCTCAGACTCCGACAGGAGTGAGGGAGGCAGGGCCCAGTGTGCCAGGTAATGTCTGGAGTTGCCATAACAGAATTAGAAGGTAGAGGGTGTCATTGAATCTGAGGAGCCTCTGCCTTCAAGTTACCTAGGCCAGGCTGTTTTACAAGACCACCTGGTCTTTTCCGAAGGTCACCACTGTTGGGGACCAGGCCCTCATCAGCCACACTCAATGGTTGTGCACCCTTGTGCTCATACCACCAACTTATCTCTTTCCCCAAAAATCTAAGTATATTTTTAATTGTCTATTCTTGTGTGTGCATAAAATCAATGAGGCAGAAACAGTTTTCCAACAAGTTTTATTTTCTTAAGAGCTGTCTAGAAGTCACTCCTTAACATTACCATTTCCTGAACATTAAAACAGACCTTCAGACTTTTGCTCAAGTACAAAATGTAAAACTTTGTAATGCAAAAATGTAAAATTGTCATGATGTTCTTCTCTGAATATTGTTCCATTTTTCCTAATCTATTAATAAGTATAAACAAAAAGTAGTATATAATACCTAGGGGATAAATCATTAGTGTTTAAAACACTTTATGTCAATTGCCTCAATATCATTCTTGCTGCATTCCATTTTTTGTTGGCTTCCTTTTCCTCACTGGGACAGCTGTTGGCTTTTCACTAAACCTAAGTCAGGTTTGACATCACCACCTCTTAAGCTCCTCGTCTATGTTGGGATGCTTTGGGTATTTCTTAGCATCACTAAACGTTACATTTCATACTTGGGACTTGTGGATTTCATTTTAGCACCACAAGTGCTCTTTACAAGCTGTCAAAGTGATTAAAATAGTTTATGTATACATCCTTGAATACACATAGTGCCCATCTATTTGGGGAATACTTGGAAATCTGATGCTATTTCTTATGCTTTTATTCAGTTCACCTCCTATTGAAAAGAACAGAGTTGAAGAGCAGTTTTTATGGAACATGGCTCAAAGGATCTGTTAGAGTTGACCTAACACCATTGACTGGTGGTTGAATTCCACTAACAGAACATGGTGAGATCAAGTCCTGAGTGTGGGGTGATGATGACCCCCAGTGCGCAGGTGCAGTGGGGTTCGGTGACAGAGAAACTCAGGTTGAAATAAGAGGAACAGGCAGTCAGGGGAGAGTTATCCCCTGAGGCACCTCCTCACTTTCCCGGCATCCACTCCCACCTAGAGGTGTGAGCCTGAGACTTGGGAGACACCTCTGCAGCCCAGGTCTTTTCAGTTTAGCTGAGTTCAGGGTGCAACCCGTGACCATGGGCCACCAGGCATTCATGTCAAAGTGAAGGAAGGAGGACTGGATCAACCACTTTTGAAAGCATGTCTCTCTCACCCCACACCAACCTCCAACTACACTGTGTAATGACATTGGTTTTGATAAATATCTAATGCTTTAAAGTAACCCCTGACCTCCATCAGAAAAGGCACTTTGGCCCAAGCCAATAAGGATAAATTGTGTACAAATGATTGTAGATTATAGGCTAAATATTTAGTGTCTTTTGGGTCCAGATTTTTGCTCTTCTAATAGGTAATGTTAATCTGAGTCAGATCAATTGCAGCTTCAAATGGCTCAAGCTATTTCATTCACTATCATCTGGCCATTGTCATAAGTTCCGCTCTGCCTCTTCCTGTGTCATCCACCATGGGATCTGTTTTATTCCTTAGCCCTAGATAAAGAAACATTTTTTCAGATTGCTTAAGTGCACTAAAGACCTCCTGAATCTGTGAAATCAATGGAAGTGAATGGTTAGCTTTGTTCTTTGGGATACAGGCCATCATTTGATTCGTTTGGGGAAAGTGTTGTGTCCAGAAGTGATTAGGTGCTGCTAAAGGCAGTAAATTTTCTTTTACTACATAACAATTAACCCCATCCATAGATTGCTTTCCCCAAAACCTTACTTTCTGAGCATCATCTTGACCATTTTGTCGATTCATTCCTCAACTGCACATTGTTCAGGCCTTTCTAGTCCATCCCTGTGCTGCTTCTTTTGATTTTGCTACTATCTAACTATGATCTGTGAAATGGAACACAGGGATGGTCCCATGTCAAAAACGCATGACACTCAACTATGACACTTGGCAGCCGGGACACTCTCTGGAAGAGATTCTCCAGATTCCGCTTATCCTGAGTCTGGAGGAAGAAGATAGCCCAGTGCTACCACCACTCTTTGTCATCATCTTCCCTTTCACCAGGCTGGGCCTACGAGTGTCGGCTATTGATGTTCTCACCTACAGAGACCCAGGTGAATTTGGAACAGACGTCTTTAAGCTCTTTACAGTAAGGTCTTGTATACCCTTCCTCTGCATTCCTACTATAACTAACACAATGTGCACCCACAGGAGTCCAGCTAGTGCATTCAGTGGGCTCAGCTAATTTAGAATCCAAGTTCTCTAGATAAGTAGCGATGTTATATTTTATGCATATTGATAGGGTGATTATAGGAGCAAAACAGGGGAGTCAGTTTATTTTGTTTCTAAGAGTACCGAAGTCATCTTGTTTATCAACCACTCGAATGTGAGAAAGCCAGAATTTTAGCCCCATTCGACTATATTCTCACTGAAAACATGAAAGTTACTTTAATCTTTCTTACATCCATTTTTCGATCTGAAATTTAAGGATAAAAGACCAAGCCCCCAAATTCTAGGAATGTGGTCATTATTTAATTTACTTTTATGTGAGGAGACAGCAGTGATATCCGGAGAGCATTTATTTAACTATCAGCAAAAAGAGAAATCATAATCTTTTCAGTAAACATGAACTTAAAAGTCATACTAAACTTGCATCTTTATGTCTCCAGCTGTCCGGGACATTATCAATAGGTATTGGTATCAGCAGTTTCCTCTGGAGACCTTCGTAGTGTTGACTGCTTTGAACCAACCTGGAGCCCAGGTGTTGGCAGCATCCTGAGAGGTCAGAAATCTGTGGTCTGTCACAGGTCATGCAGCTAAGGAAACAAACAAAAAAGGCACCAGGACATCCACTGAGGTAATCCTTACTCACAGTGGCCCCTTCATCCAGTGAACACAGTGACACTACACTGGTTACTAGACTGAGAGCTTTCTGAACTTTGGGATAACACAAGGGGTGTACTCGTGTTTTATTCATCTCTTTGTTCACAGTTCTAGCTCTGGTCCAAGCACTGAGGAGGCCCTCAACATTCAATGAGTTCTTTCAATGAGTGAATAAAAATGGTTGGAAACCTCAGGTCATCTCATCTGCATTTGTTCAGCAATTCCGCTCTGAACAGAGGACCCTGTCTTACACTACCCACACCCTATGACACTCCCCTACAGCAGCGCAGATGGACAGGGAAATGATCTCAGGGATTGCTTTAGTGGTTTACGATATCATTAGAAAGAGAAGCCCCTAACTTGCCCTACTCCGGACTGTCACAAGGCCCCAGTTTAAGGAGAATTACCATATTTTGTTGAAACTGTGTTCTGCCTCTCACTGCTTTAATTTCCCCAGGGAAATGAAACTTTAAGTTTTTAACACAGGGTAAGGCAAATTAAGCATTCAACAAATATTTGAGAAATATTATGTATAAAATCTTCCTCAACTGAAAATGGAGAAGAAAATTACTAGTATTACTACCTCAGATGCAAGGGTCTCCTTATGTTGGCCCTGCCTGACCTAGGGCAGAACTGTTTAATGTAAGAATAGATTTCCTTAACACTTCTCCAAACACTGTTCATTTTTAATGAGCCCACATTTACTTGGTGGGCATCTACTGGCAGGCAGCTCTCAGGTTGAGTTTCTGGGGCCTGGGTCTCACAGTCACGTCCTTCCCCTCTTGGAGTCAGGTTTTCCCTGCCTTATGAACCAGCTATCAGTCCACCCTGTGCAGCTCCTTGGCCAAGTGCACCAGTTCACTATGGAGTAAGTTTCTCTCCCAGTCCTCACTGCTCAACTCAGGCTGCTCTTGAGGGGTCGGATGATGTTGTAGACATTCCTCAGTTTCCCCTGAAGTTTCTGAACCCACCTTATCCTTATTCTAACTTGTTTGATTTTCACCTATCCAGTATTACCTTGTCCTTCTTTGGGTTATTTTCATCCTCCAAATCTGACTTTCTTTCTTCCATCTGCTCCCTCAGATCTATGTTCCCAGGCTGTGATCTGAGCTCATTCTCCACAGGAGACACACAGAGTAGGGACCAGGGTCAGGTCTCAGCTGCAATCCCCAGGGCCCATTTAATGCACATCTCAGTCCCTTGTGGACTAAGAGAAAACTGAGCAGGAAGGGACCCCAGAGAGGTACATTAAAAACCTTAAATTGCTGATGAGGAAACTGAGGCCCAGAAAGACTATAAGAGGCTTTCCCAAGCTCCCACACATCCTGATGACAGCAGAGCCACACACAAGCCTTGGCCTGAACCCTCCCTGTCCACAGCACCTCACTCACCCGTCAGAAACTCACATCCTAACTTCAGAGAACTGAGAGTCAATCATAGCTATCTCCATGGCAAAAACAAAATTATCTATGGAGTCATTGACTTTAAGGGGAGATTCTGTGGGGGGGGCTGATGGAATCACATCACTCCTCAAATGCAAGAACTTTGTGTCACTGGCAGGAATAAAATGTTGGAGAGTGGAAGCATGAGAAAGACTCTTGCCCTTTTACTGATTTGACAATGGAGAAGGCCTGTGAGAAAGAATGCAGGTGGCCTTTAGAAGCAGAGTGCACTCCTTGTCTGACAGCCAGTTCAGAAAAAGAGACCTCAGTCCTCCAACCACAAGGAAATGAATTCTGCCAATATCTAAAGTGAGCTTGGAAAGGTAGCCTGAGCTCTAGATGAAAATGCAACCAGTTGACTCATGGCTTTCAGCTTCGTGAGGCCCGGTGCAGAGAATCCAGCCATGTCATTGCAGACTTCCAATCTACACACCTGTAAGATAACAAATGCATGTTGTTTTAAACTGCTAAGTACATGGTAATTTGTTATGCTGCAATACAAAACTTTATACTATTTGAGTATAGCTCTACTCTCCTGATCTGTATTTTCAGCTACCTGTGTTCTAATCCCTGTTCAAGTTAAAAAAAAAAAAAAAATCAAAGAATCACAATAAAAATCCCAAGCTCACCTTTATGTTACTGTTCCTGAGCTCTTGCAATGTGAAAGACACTACAATGGGCATTTGAGACACTCGAGGGACTTCTTTTTAGTACTGCAAACCTCTGAAAGAATCAAGATGTTAGCATAATTAACTACAGGCTAAAATGTCTTTAAATTGATCATCCATCTCTCTACTTCCTATGGCAATTTTTTTTCTTTTAGCTCCTTGTTCACCTGAGCTGACCAGAGAAGGTTTTACAGCAATTATCACATATTTGCAAAGACAAAGCAATTCCAGAAGAGCAATAGAACAGCCATATTGTCCCCCCAAATAACATCCCCTAGAAAGCAATCTCTCCCCTTCAGACTAGAATTTTTAAGAAGATTCATTTTTTGAAGTTCCATTCTAATGAAAATTTAAGCTTAAGGATCTCTGTTTTCCAATTTTTATTCTGCTCAGGTCCAATCACAGAGACCCCACTTCTCAGCGTGGGTGACATCCCAATTCAAAGGAATTCACATTAACCCAACTTGGTCTAAGTCACATTGTCGCCCCCTCAGGTTTTCTAATCAGAGAGTGCAGCTTCACCACATGTTAGACAAAATTTCTATCTTCTCTTATTCTTCATTTTAGGGATGTCCAGTGAGAAAGAAAAATACCAACCTCTGATGTCCTGAACTGATCTGACACAGCCGGACCTGGGCTTTTCTGCCTTGTTTCGCTAAGCCAGCTCTGGAAGACATCAAACTCAAGAACTGTGTGGAAATATCTACAGCTACTGTTAAATGAAAATTATAGGAGGCCACTGCTTTGGACTAAGTTCCTGCAATAGGCCCCAAAAGACCAGACTAAAAATCAAAATAATGTCACCCCTGATAAGTTTCATGTCACCAAACCTAAACTAAGCTGTGATCTGACCTTCTGAGAAATCAGGAGAGAGATAACGGCCGATTTCCTTAACAGGCCAGTTTAAATCTTCAATAGGCATGATAACCAAGTTCCTTCTGCTTTAATCTTTCGGGATACCCAGAAGGAACCTGAGGTTAAATAATCAGTTACTTTTTATTGCTCTGTCTGCCTGTTCCCAACTTACAAGGAAAATAACTTTGAAATGACCAATCCACTTTATGTTCTTTCTTTTTGTTTTCTTCAGTCTTTTCTGTCTGTAAAACCAATCTCCTCTGCTTAGCTCATTTGAACACCTATTCTATTTTATGGAATGAAGTGTTGCCCCATTTGAGAATTGCAATAAAGCCAGTTGAGATCTTTAAATTTGTTGTAATTTTGTCCTTTGACACCACCATAATGTGATAGTAAAAGAATCAGAAATTTCTGTGTAAAAATAAGTTCTGGAGTTCCAAAGCCTAGGACTCACACAGACAATAAAACCTTGACCTGGCAGGACCCCAGTTAGTCCCCCAATCCTTTTCTTAAGAGGAGTATTTCTAGATTTCTAATCCAGACACCTTATAACAGCCAAGGCAAAACACACTCACATACACACGCAACAACACTATTTTCATGTTGGCAAGAATGCTTACAATCCTGCCAAATGGTTTCAATCTGCTCCTCTCTTCAGACATATGTTTACTGAGTTCCTGCTTTGTGCAAGTCATCCTTTCCACCACTGCAGGAGGAGACCCTTCAGAAGCCCAACACAGATCACCTGAAATTGCTTTTATCCTTTCTGTATAATTCTTTCCTGATTTTGGTGTGTTTTTGCTTCTAAGGACTCTTCTGAGTAGCACTGCCCTTGGGCTGCTGGAACCACTTTGCAACCAGTGCCTCAAAATGGGAAGTACATGGGAGTGTATAACCCCAAATCCCATTTATCTCCCCTCTCTCAAGGCACTCAGTAAGTCACTAACAAGTGCAGGAGTATAAAATCTAAGTTTCTCAGGCCGGGTGAGGAGAACTTTTAAACATAACTTACCTCCAAGTTCCCCAACTGCTATGAGGACAAAGTTCCCCCATGGGACTTTGTCTGAAATCACACATACATAGAAATCAAGTCCAAATAAATCACAGACCTGAATGTAACAGCTAGACTATAAAACTTCAGCAGGAATGCGTAGAAGAAAATACTTGTGACTTTGGGTTAAGCAAGAACTTCTAAGATATTACACCAACAGCATAATCCCTAAAACATAAGAAAATTGAATTTCACTAATATTAAAAGGTGTGTGCTTCAAAAGACACCATTAAGAAAATGAAAGAAAATCCACACACTGGGAGAAAATATTTGAAAATCAAATATCCAATCAAAGATTTTTATATTTATAATATCTAAAAAGCTCTTTGAACTCAATAAAAAGAAGCAACACAATTTTCAAAATTAGCAAAATGTTACCAGGCAAGACAAATAAATGGTTCGCTAGCCTATGAAATAGTGCTCAATGTCAGTCATTAGGGAAATGCAAATTAAAACAACAGTAAAATACCACTTCACATCCACTAGTGTGGCTATGTTCAAAAAGACAGAAAGTACCAAGTGTTGCTGAGAATGTGGAGAAATTGGAACCCCATACATTTCTGGCGAGAATGTAGGATGATGACACTTGGGAAACCAGTTTGACAGTTTCATAAAAAGTTAAACTGAAGTTACCATACAAGCCTGTAAGGAAAACATAGGTGGGGCTGGCCAGTTAGCTAGTTGGTTAGAGTGCAGCCTTATAACGCCAAGGTCATGGGTTTGGAGCCTCATACCAGCGAGCCAGCCACCAAAAAAAAAAAAAAGGTCCATACAAAAATTACTCAGAAATGTTCATGGCAGCATTATTCATAATACCAAAAAAACTGAATACAACTTAAATGTCCATCACTGGTGTGTGGATAAATAAAAAGTGGTATATCTGTACAATGGGATTCTATTCAGCGAAAACAAGAGAAGCAATCTGATACATGCTATAGCATGGATGAACCTCGGAAACATTAGGCTAAGTGAAAGAAGCCAGTCACGGAAGACTACACATCGCCTCGTTCCATTTGTTTGTAATGTCCAGAAAAGACATATCTGTAGAGACAGAAAACAGATTAATGGTAGCTTGAAGCCAGAGGAGGGAGTGGGATTGTCTGCAACGGGCTTGGCGGGAGGGGACTTGGGGAGGTGAAGGAAATGTTCTAAGTCTGGATAATGGTACTGGTTGAAC